AAGTGAGTTAGGAGAGTTGGTGATCTCTTGGACAAATCACCAGAGGCGCCAAGATAGGTTCATCAAGAGCAGGAAGGAACAAGGGGAAACATGAGGTTTTCCCCGTGGACCGACCCGTGACGAGATCCTATTCCCGGGCCCTCAACATGGTGGCAGTGATAGTTGCTGTTTGTAGAAGCTTAAGAAAATGCAATGTTAAGTGGAAAATAATGCAATTCTTGATGAATCTGCACCAAAAGTTTGAAGTTGTGAGGGCCAACGAGGCCATTATTGTGACCTGAGCTAATCTGGAAAGGAGAAAGGTGTAGGGGAAGGGAGAATACAATAGGAGTCTATGTTTGTTGCTAACAAATCCACTCCACGAGTTTTTTCTCAGATGCAGTACCTTTAATGTAAGGAGTATGACACATAACCTCTCATTGTAGTAAGAGGAACTTCTGTTTCTATTGTGAAGCCCAAGGCATATTATCTTTCAGTATAAGACCAATCATGCTAAGGAGAGAGTTTTATTATGGAGTTCAGTTTCAGTTTATTTTTGTGAATATTGCTTCTATTTTCATTTGGTCTTTGCTTTTATGTTCGTTTGTTTCCTAATTTCTATTATATATGGGATTGGAAAATAATTGTTTTAATTTGATTGTACTTCGTGATGATATCCAATGCTTATGTGGGGTTTCCCTTATTGTATGGGGCAGTTGTCTAGAAACTCTCTTATCTGATCTTTTCCTTCACTATGTGAGGAAACAGGTGAAATCATCCAGCATGCCACAGTTGCCCCAGCATAAGGAGTTATTTTCTTCTTTAAGTCCCTATCATGCAAAGCTTGTAGGGGAAAGCTATTTAGCAAGAAAAAGGCCAGTGTATGAATGCACAGATGTCCAGGTAGACCTTGATGTTGAGAATGATGCAAGTAGTTGCTTTTGTGGAGAGGATGAATGTACTTATCTCATACTTGAAAAATGCTTTATTTAACCAATTATAAAGGAAGAAAAATTGATGAAAGTAAATTTATTATAAGTAGAACATTTAATGCTTCATCCTTTTTTTTGATAGATGAAGAAAAATTTATTAAGATCAAATCAAAGCATATTTATGTTCTTTGCATGGTAATACATACATGTCGCATATGCAAGCACACGGATGCATGCATATCACACACACAGCCTGCTACTAGCCAAAAGAGAAAATCTGGTATATATCTTGGATCTTGGGAGGGGTGGACTGGATACAGACCTAACTTTTGGCATTTCTTTTTTAACACAAAGTGGCTGCTTTCAGTCTTGTTTTGTGTGTGATTTTCTCCCTTATAAGGATGTTCTGTGGAAGTCACATAGGACTTCAGTTTGCATTAAGAGTTAATATCTTAATGCAATTAATGATTTTCTCCCTCATTCATTCTCATTCTTACCCAAGATGAAATTCTAAAATGGACAAGAATTGGTAGAATGAGAAAATATTGCTATTAACCTAACACTTTTTTCCTAAAAAATGAATTCTTTTCAAACTGATAAGTGCCCTATGTTGCTAATTTTCATTATTAAAAAAAAACTGTGTTAGCGGTCATAAACTGCTGGCCTAGGGTCTCTATCGTCAACATAGATGTTTACTGGTGGATGGCCAGCGGTCAATGCCCGTTGGCATAAGTTTCCATAGCAGTTTGTCAATAAACATTTATGGTGGTGGTTTTGTAGACCTAGGCCGGTGGTTTATGATCACTGGCATAGAGTTTCTATAAAGAATGAAAATGAACAAGATGGGGCATGATTAATTTTCATGCTGCAGTCTACCTCAATTTTTGTGTTATGAGCTGATTTTTCATTCTGAAAAGAATGAGGCTCATGGCAAGAATTTTGTAACCGAACACTCTAATGTTATTCATTCTTGTCCATTCTTGCCCAGAATGAGCAAGAATTATCAAAAATGAGGCCCAGAGCAATAAACGGAACATGGCCTTAACTGTTCAGTTAAACTAAAAGACATAGATACTTGGATTTGAGAACATTCATTTTGTTGGCTTGGGCAATAAAAGGAATCCTCCCTGTGTGCTTAAGCAAACATCTACCTAAATTTATGTAGTTTTATGATAGAAAACTGTTTCACTGTAGAAAAGAAAAAAGCTTTTAGGTTGTCACATACACCCACCGGTAGTTGTAGAGGCAACAAATAACATTTTTCTCTGTTCAGACACTTTTATAGATGTGTTAACTTACCATATATTTTGTTTTCCTTACGCTTTCTCTTCTAATTATTGGTAGATTGAAGCTGCCAAAGGCTTCTTAGCAGTGCTAAGATCTTATCTGGATTCACTTTGCTCAAACCTAAGGTCTCACACAATTACAAATGTGCAGTCCAATAATGATAAGGTTGGTATTCAATCCAAAAGAAAGTTGGGGAATACTGGTTAATAAGATTGTTTTTGATAAGATTTTCTTTTAATTGTTTTGTATGTGAGAATATCATTTTTTGTGTTTCTTCTGGTTTTAGTTATTAAATACTTCCAAGGTAGCAAAAGAACTTGAATTCATGAGTAATTTTATTTTCATGTTCACCTAAAATTATCTGCAACTCCTTTAGTTGAATTGATGACACTCTAAAAAATTATTTGCAACTGCTTTATTTGAATCACTCTCTCCCTCCTTCCCCCGGTGTGTGTTAAAAGTTGTTTTACCTAGTTTAGGTATGCTCAGAAGGTGGACTTAGGTTTGGTATAGTGTTTACAGTTTTAATGCCTTAGTTGTGTTTATAGGGTGGACATGGAAATACATTTATGAACGATGTTAGTTGGGTTGCTCAAATTTTATAACCACACCAATGATAAGAAAAAAAATGTATTACAGGAACACAGTGGTAATACTCTCAGGTAAAAACTACTAACTCTTAAAACCGAATAGCTTTAAAGTAAAGTGTATTGCCTTATCTTTTAGCTTAGTAATTTGCAGTGTTTTGAAAGTGAGAGGCGCAAGAAAAATGCAAGGGAGTACCGGAAATTTGGTTTTTAGTGGGAATTTAGTAGTGTGAGTTGTAATGGAGAACTTTAAGGGAGGACTGAATTTGAGAAGGATCTTTGTTGGTCTTGGACAAATGGATGAAAGTTTTCCAAAGAGAAAAGGACTAGGAAATATCGAAAATAAGGGAATTGAAAGAGAGAGGGAGAAACTTAGTTGAATTGTTTGGAGGGTCCTAACAAGTGATTTAAAGCCTTGTAGAGACTAGAGAGTTGGAGGAGATGCTAAGTAGAACAGCTTGCTTAAACCTATAATAGCAACTAGGGGAGATGAGAAAGAACATGGAAAGAAGTGGGAAAGAGGGAAATAAGAGAGAATAGTGGTTCATGTTGAGAAGAAAAAAACAAGGATGAACTATACCACTCAAAAAATACTTTTTATTTCATTTTTGGTGTTACTTGAATGTGGAACCTGTTTCCAGACGTCACACAGAAGTTTAATTAATAAGCTATCTATCATTTTGAGACCTTGCCTTGTTACAGATCAAAAGTGTATGGATGCTGGATGAGGATTTTATGCCTAGTAAGTGGATATGCAGAATTGATTCTCTTGGTCTAGTTTCAGGTTTTAAGGTGAATGAGGCAGGGATGATCAATCATCTTCATATAAATATGACATCTTGATTTTTTCTTTGGGTTTGTGCGTGTATTGGCATTGCAATTTTAGGGCTATTCTTCATTGCTTTAGAGGCTGTTTCTGGTCTCAAAAATAATCTTCACAAGAGTGCCTTGTTTGGCGTCAGAAGTTTTGATCTGGTATCTCCTAGAGAGTGTGCAACCATTTTGGGGTGTGAAGTGAATTTTGTTCTGTGCTTTTATTTAGGCATTAAGCAGTTTCTAAGCAAGCTTATTTCCAGTCTTTGGATGGTCTGGAGGTTAGCTGGTTGGAAGAGGTGATTCCTCTCTTTTGGTTTGGTGTATTATCCTCATTAAAAGTGCCTTGGTTAATGGTTAGCTTTCTCTTTTACTTTTATTCTCTCCTTAATGTTGGTTTCCTTGGAAAAACAGCTTGAGAATATTTGAAAGGTTTTCCTTTGGAATGGTTGAATAGTCAAATTGAAGTTCTATTTGGTCTAAAGGAAATGGGCTTGTCACCCTAAGCAGCTGGGTGGTATAGTTTTAGTAGAATGAGCATCACGAATAAGGTACCTTCCTAGGAAATTGCTTTTCTGATTCCCTACAGAGGATTTGGATGTATTGAAAGGGTGGTGGCAACCTTGTATGAGAATTCCAGTTATGGATGGTCCACTAAACTGGTACATAATGAAAATCGTCCAAGCCTTATCTCAACTATCTAGGGTTGGCTACTTAAGGATCCATGTCTTAAGGGGCAAAAGTTTTAATACTGGCTGCAAACCTGACACAATCCTCCTTTATCTGGGCTTGGGACTGGTGGTCTAAGACAAAGTCACATTGCTGGAGTTTTCTTCATGCTCATATGCACAAAAGGCCATTACCTGATGTTTGTCCCAGTTATATGGGGTCTTGGGAGGGGTAGACTGGGTGTGGTCCTATCCTTTGGCATTTTTCCACACAAAGTTGCTGTCCTCAGATTTGAACCTGTATTCTTACATTTTCCATCATGGGATTTTACCATTACACCAAGTAATGGCCCCTTTCATTCTCATATGCGTATTAGTAAAAATTACTTAGCAAAATGAAAGATGAGTGACAATTTGTTGTACAAAGATGAGTGAAAATTGAATTTTTACCTTGATGTTTGTGGTTTTATATGTGGCATTAAGTGATATTGGTGCATACTGCCCCTTGTTTTAATATGCAGCATTTAGATTTATGGTCAAGAATGAAATATGCTAGTGATATTTATAAAGGGCTACTTCTAGTGGGGCATTCTTTACTTAACCTATTTCACCATCAATGTTTCCCCATATAGTTGTGATAAGGCTTAGATGATGATGATTTCACCATCAATGTTTCCAACTCATCGGTGTTTTCATATTCATCCTAGCTAACTCTTGAACCAACTTCATCTTGGTTAGTGTATGAATTTTCTTGTTTTAGATGCCACTGTTATATTGTCACCTGATCAAAATATTATTATTACCATTATAAAACATTATTCTTTCCTGGTTATCAATTACATTTTCTATATTACTCTCCATGAAAAATAGAGGTTTGATACATGTAATTGTGTAAAAAAATCAAAATAAAGAAAGGTCTTAGAGTGATTGGACTCATGGTTTTAGTGTGGATGAGCAAACTGAACCGACTGCTGAGCTTTGTCCTGCTTGGTTTGGGCTCACAAACTATAGCTTCAGTGCATAGGTTCATTAAGGTCCAAAATTTACAATGGTATAGAGCCAGCAGTCTAAGGACAAGTGTTAAATGTTTTAAAATGAAGAGGCGTGACATGAGGTGTTTCACTACCTGGAGGCATGAGGAGTAGTTCAGAATGCAAGAGGTGTGAGCCTCCTGCGCACAAGGAAGTAGAAACCTCCTTACAAGGAGGGTGAGGATGTGGAAAGAGGAGGAGGAGAGAAGGTTAAAAAGAAGAAGGATCTTATGTTCTTTTTCTTGTTTCTTTTTTATGAATGGCGTTTGAGTGGTACGTCTCAGAGGCATCAATGCCTCTGGCATGTGCCTCAGGGTGTTTTGGGGGTGCCTCACCTGGACATGTAGCTCCAGGCGTATGCCTCCCATGCTTTTTAAGACATTGTGCTAATGTTCATTTAAACAAAATAAGGTTAGCAATTAATTAGATAATTTACATTTGTAATGCCTAATATCTTATGACAATAATTATTCTAATATTTGTATGAACTACAAAAAAAAAAAAAAATTCTGCACAAGATAAGTCAACATAAGTTTGGCTCAGGCTTGGGAATTGGGCATAGACTCTATTGGTGTGAACCGAGCAAAACTGAAAACTTCTCATAAAATGAAAGAGTGTTGGACTTGGTTAATTTGCTACTCTGGCAGGCAACAGTTCCTGCCAAATTCTGAATTCATTGCTCAAATTTTGATCTCCAGCAAAATCATGGGAATTTGCTGATGTATTGATGAATGTCTTTTGTTTGCATATCTTGCTGGTTTGGGACTTTTTGAAATATTATAGGACCTCAAATTTGTTCTAAAAATGAATTTTGTTGATACTCTAATGATCAATTTTTAAGAAAGTGGAATTGTCCATGGTTAGGTGTGCTTGGAAGACAATTTCATCCCTAGGAAGTCTTTTGCTTTAACATTTCTAGATCCAGCATTGGCTTTGAATTTTTTTTAGTATTTAAATGGTTCTGGCTGTTCAATTGACTAACATAAAATATACTTCATATTATTTAATTTCCACCTAATGATTTTAACAAACACATCTAACTAGACACTAATAATTCTCTTCCTTGGACATTAGGTCTCTTTGCTTTTGAAAGAGAGTTTCATTGATTCATTCCCAAGCCGTGACCGGCCTTTTATGAAGGTATTACCTCTTAAGCACTTCATTTATTCAATGCTTTTTTATGTTTTTCTTGAACTTATCAAAGGCATAAATGCATTTGTTCCATGGGTAAGTTGACATAATATAACTTTAAGGTTATCTATTTCACTTGAATGCTAGTAACTAATTATGAAGGTAATATTTTCAAAGGATGACATAGAAGAATGGTGATGTCACATACATCTTAATGCGGCCACTTTTCTTATATTTAAAGTAAATAGACAAGAAAAAACTTACTCATAGTTGTGTTATTGTTCAGGTGCTAATTAGTTTTCCAATGAAGGCCGTTCCTTCATATCATAGTATATATGCATTTTTATATGTACATACATACAAACACAAAAAGTCAAAAACACCTATACACATTGATAAAGTTCCCTTTTTTTCCTAATCCATTTTAAAATTCTGTGATGACCAATCATCTATCAACTAGAAGGACATTGCTTGTGTATCATCTTAAAATCTAACTGGTTATCTTATGATTTTGATCATAAAGTTTGCAGTTTTAAAACTAATGTGTTAGTGTTGACTGTAAAGGGGTAGTTTAGTCTTTCTATTTATGTTTAAGCTGATGTGGAATGTTTATGTTAAGTGATGTGTCCCATACTTAAGTAGGGACATAACAGTTTTTTGTTTTATTTAATAGAAACCTATAAATATAACCTGACCGACTAGAGAAAGGGACTTTTGTCTCTCTAGTTCGAACCAGTTTTCTCCTTCTCCTCCTCTCTTCTATCTCTTCTAATCTTCATCTAATACTATTTCTAACAGAACTCTAGTGCAGTTCTGAACTTTATCATGGTATCAGAGCCACTGTGACAAAACCAGATCTGCCCAGAATTCTGTTCTATCACCATTCAGCCTAGAGCTTTACAGTTTTCTTCGTCATCTGTTGGAGATAGGGAAAAGGGCTAAAAAGGGGTGATCACCCTTTACCATTGGGGGTTTTCATGCCTCCCATCAGTGGTTTAGTGGGAGTTTGTGGTGGTTTGTAGGAAGCCCTCTAATCGATGGTATGAAGAGGGCTGTTTTAGGTGGTGCAGTGGACAGTCGAGTGTCAGGTTGGTTTTTGGTGATCAAATAAGTAGGCTATATGTGTGTTTCAGTGTGAATCTAGTGGTTGGTGAGTTGCTAGTGTTATGGTGTGTATTCGGGTAGTTGTGTGGTGCTGAAAGTGAAGAAATCAGTGATGGGTATTGCTGAAAATTGTGAATGTAGGTGGATTCACTAGTGTGCAGTGGGTTGAAAATTGATTTAGAAGTTTGATATATGGGAAAAAAAAGGAATTCAGATATGGGAGACAGTACTGGGCACAAATCTAGTGTTATGGTTCCCACCGACTACTTGAATGTCCAGATGACTTCTATCAAATCGAATGGGGAGAATTATGTGCCTTGGGCAAAATCTGTAGAGGTAGAGCTAAGAAGAAAGTGAAGCATGTAGGAGAAGAAAAACCTCCCGCTGACTCTCAGGAGTATAGTGAACCTGGTTATGGAATAGTATGAAACCCAAGATCAGTGTGAATTTTATGTTCCTAGATATACAACCAAGGAGATTTGGGACCATGCCAAGTTGTACTCGAGACAAGACAATACTACTGGAGTGTATCGGCCTTATCAAGAGTACTTTAATCTGTAACAAGGTAATCGGAGTCTTGAGGAGTAGTATGCTAGCATGAAGAACCTTCGTAATGAGTTGAATGTTTACCATCCCCTCACTTCTGATGTTAAGATTCAGCAACAACAAAGAGAACAATTGGATGTGACCAGATTTTTAGTAGGGCTGAAATATGAATATGAACCAGTGATGTCGCGAGAGCACATACTAGGAGGGTCAGCTCTTCCATCTCTAGAAGAGGTGTTTGCCCATCTTCAGAGGATTTCTGTTGGGTCACAGAGAATTCTAATATCTCTTTCAGGTCTGCCTTTTTAGTGACGAGAGGGGGAGGTCGTGGTGTTAAGAGATGGAGCTTGGGGAGTTCAACCCGGTTGTAGTGGTAGTAGTGGACCCATGTATGGTCGTAATGGTGGTGGTGGACGTGTTGGAGGTCGAGATTCAGGGGGAGCTCGTGGCAGAGGACATAGTAATGGTTCGAGGAGATGTACATATTGTGGTATGGAAGGGCACACCATTAACTTTTGTTATGATTTGCACGGCCCACCTTCAACTTGGGCAAATTATGCAGTGGCCAATGATGAAGACAGGATATCCAACAAGCTGATCAGATGCCCTCTACATCTACGGATGTCTCCGGGAAGGAGATGATGAGTATGAGCGGTTTATCCAGGCTACTTCTCAACAGAATACAACTACTCTTGCACATTCAAGATTGGCTTGTTTGGCATCCAAACCCACCTCTTGGATTATCGACTCTGGAGCTTCCGATCATATGGCTAGGACTCTAGGTGTGTTCTCCTCTCTTTCACAGTGCTCCACATCACATTCTGTTACCCTTGCTAATGGTTTCACATCCTCCATTTGTGGTGTTGGTGATGTTGATCATATGGCTGGGATTCTAGGTGTGTTTTCCTCCCTTTCACAGTGCTCCACATCACATTCTGTTACCCTTGCTAATGGTTCCACATCCTCCATTTGTGGTGTTGGTAATGTTGACATATACCCTTTATCCCTGTCCTCGGTTATGTATGTTCCCAAATTCCCTTTCAATCTTATGTCTGTTAGTAAGCTAACCAAGTCTCTTAATTGCTCTATCACCTTTTACCCCTCTTCTTGTGTTTTTCAGGATCTCAAGACGAGGATGAAGATTGGTGGAAGGCATGGAGCTGGTGGACTGTATTATCTTGATGGTGATGGTGGTTCGTCAACAGCTCTTCAGACATTTCTTTCTCCTCTTCAGTGGCACTGTAGACTTGGTCATCCATCGCTTAAAGCACTGAAGTCACTTAGGGTTGATAATCGTATGTCGAGTCATTTTTCTTTAGTTCATTCAAATATTTGGGGTCCAAATAAAATAGTGTCATACAATGGTTACAAATACTTTGTTATTTTTGTTGATGATTATTCAAGGATGACGTGCCTTTACCTAATGAAAGAAAGGAGTGAATTGTTTTCCATTTTCAAAAAATTTTATGCTGAAATTTGCAACCAATTTGGTGTACACATTAAGATTCTTTGTTCTGATAATGGCCACAAATACTTTTATACACCGTTTCAGGAGTATTTGGAACAACATGGCAATGGCGTTATCCATTAAACTTCATATACCTACACACCTCAGCAAAATGGGGTGGTTGAAAGAAAGAACCACCATATTTTGGAAACTGCTTGGTCTCTTTTGCATCATATGAATGTACCCAAACGTTTTTGGAGAGATGCTGTGCTTACATCTTGTTTCCTCATTAATCAGATGCCCACACCCATCCTTGAAGGTCATTCTCCTTTCACCACTTTGTTTCTTACATTGTCTCATTTTCCCCTTACTCCTAGGGTTTTGGGTGTGTATGTTTTGTTCATAATCTTGGACCTGGAATGGACAAATTAGGTGCACGGTCCACCAAGTGTATCTTCCTTGGCTATTCCCAGACCTAGAAAGGGTACAAGTGTTATAACCCCAATTCTCGACGTTCTTTTATGTGCCCTAATGTTACTTTCTTTGAGTCTGTTCCATTTTTTTTTTCTGGGTCCAGTGATGTCTCCTCTTCTTCCTCACCTCCTCTTACAGTTCCTATTGAGGATCCCATCCCACTTCTTCCGATTGTGACTAAGTCTTCACCTCCAATGCAACTTCCTGTTGAATGGCCACCCATTCGCCAAGTGTATACGCATCGACATGTACCAGCTCCTCCTCCAACTTCTTCACCGTTGATAGATCCGATAGTTGTCCCCCCACCAGCTCCACCTCTTGTTTCTGACCTTGATCTTCCTATTGCCTTGTGGAAAGGTAAACGTAGTTGCACACTTCATCCCATTTCCAATTATGTTTCTGTATCTCACATTTCTGCTTCCCATTGTCATTTTGTTTCTTTGTTGTCTTCTATTTCAGTTCCTATGGATGTCTAGGAAGCCCTTTCCTCTCTAGGGTGGCGCCATGCAATGGAAGAACTCTTAGCTTTGGCTCATAATCACACGTGGGATCTCACCACACTTCCTCTTGGTAAGCATGCTGTAGGTTGTAAGTGGGTATACACTGTTAAGTATTTACTTGATGGTAGTGTAGAGTGATTGAGAGCTCGATTGGTTGCCAAAGGCTATTCCCAAACATATTGTATTGACTATACAGAGACCTTCTCTTCTGTTGCTAAAATTGGTTCCGTTAGTGTTATGATATCTCTAGTTGCTATGTATGATTGGCCTCTGTTTCAACTTGATATCAAGAATGCTTTTTTACATGGTGATCTCCTTGAGGAGGTCTATATGGAGCAACCACCGGGGTTTGTTGCTCAGGGGAGGATGATAAGGTGTGCAAACTAAAGATGGCCATTTATGGACTTAAACCGTCCCCATATGCATGGTTTGGTAGATTTAGTGAAGTGATAAAGAAGTTTGGTATGAAATTGTGTCAAGTTGATCACTTAGTATTCAACTATGATTTGCATGCTGGGAAGATCTTACTGGCAGTATATGTAGATGATATTGTCATTACTGACAGTGATAGATTGGGGATTGATAGGCTGAAGACCTTTCTGCAGGAGCATTTTCAAACAAAGGACCTTGGTAAATTAAAATATTTCTTGGGGATAGAAGTAGCAAGGTCTAAGCATGGCATTAATTTGTGTAAAAAGAAGTATGTTTTTGATTTGTTGGAGGAGACAGGATTGTTAGGTGCCAAATCGGCTGAAACACCTATGGAACCAAATACCAAGTTGAGCAGTGATATGGGTGAGGAGTTTGAAGATCCTGGAAGGTACATGCGGTTGGTGGATAAGCTAAACTACCTAACCATTACTCAACCAGATATTTCATTTGCAGTTAGTGTGATGAGTTAGTTTATGCAGAATACTCGAGTTCCACATTGGGATGCA